CAACATAAAAAGGACATGGAACTGTTGGAACAAGTCCAGAGAAGGGCCACGAGGATGATCAGGGGACTGGAGCACCTCCCGTATGAAGACAGGCTGAGGAAGTTGGGGCTGTTCAGCCTGAAGAGAAGGCTGCGTGGAGACCTCATAGCAGCCTTCCAGTATCTGAAAGGGGGCTATAGGGATGCTGGGGAGGGACTCTTCATTAGGGACTGTAGTGACAGGACAAGGGGTAATGGGTTAAAACTTAAAAGGGGGAAAGTTTAGATTGGATATAAGGAAGAAGTTCTTTACTGTGAGGGTGGTGAGGCACTGGAATGGGTTGCCCAGGGAAGTTGTGAATGCTCCATCCCTGGCGGTGTTCAAGGCCAGGTTGGACAGAGCCTTGGGTGACATAGTTTGGTGTGAAGTGTCCCTGCCCATGGCAGGGGGGTTGGAACTTGATGATCTTAAGGTCCTTTTCTATGGAAGTTATTATTCAAAGTTAAAGCCAGGCATTTGATTACCTGTTTTGCATGATCTCCCTTCAAGGCTAATTGAAAATGTTTGTCCCTAATGCTATTTTCTTTCCACAAATGAGACACCTTGAAGACATTTATAAACAATTTTCAAGATCAGTGCAAGTTTTCATTCACTCCTAGGAGAGTGCAACATCATTCCCATTTCATAGCTAATAACAAAATACAAAGCATTTGGTCACAGCCTCAAAGTAAGTAAGTATAAATTTTCTTCCTCCCAGTAGGAATATACAATTTTCCTTGCAGGTTCACACCTATCTACTAGTACGTTGTAGCATTACACATACATTATTTCTTTTCTAGTAAGACTACCTGAACTGTTATGAGGATTAACAGTCACAGAAGCGAATGGCCAGGCACAATAAATCATTGCCATGGTATAGAAGATGGGTATCACATCAGCACCTGCACTGCTGTGCCCATACATTCACTTTCTAAATTTTTGCTTTACACTACAAGAGGAAAAAAGCAGACTGCCAAATAATGCCGAATTATTAAATGGATTTGTGCTATAGACAGATGGTCATAGCATGACACTGAGGTTGTAATTCCCACTTAAAGAGCAAAATGTGAATTCAAATTCTCCAGAAACCAAATGCTACCACACCATAATAACTGCTATGGCAGGGAATGAGGTGGAGTAAACATAGCTTTCATTATTATGGTACTGCATCCTTCACTGTCAGTGACCATTCTTTAATAAGCATCCTGGGTATAAAAGTCATCTTACATTCAGTGCTGAACAGGAACAACTGGTATGCCCCTGACTTTCAGAAATAGTAGAACTCCCATCAGCCTTACATTATTTGCCTGCTATAGTTAACAAATACTACAGTACTTCTACAGCTTTCACACATGTTTACAAACATTTCTTATAGATTTGTTGCATCTTATCCAGCGATAACCTACACCACGAAGACTGCAAGTTTGTTATACAAGGTTATCTACTCAGGTTCCAAAGGAGGTTACCCCCAAGCTTCATAATTCAACCACAGTTGTCAGCATCAGCCTTATCTACATATGTATCAATTATCATTGCTAATGGTAGTTCACATGTAATGTGTTACCACTCCAAGAAGCCCCTGTGATTTGGTCAGCACCAACTAAACAACCACTATTTTTAATGCTGTGTGATTAAGATCTGCTCAGAACAAAACAAAACAACTTGCTACTAAAACACAGCTGCAATCCTTTCAGATGTGGGCTCAAAGCTTTTAATGCTGGTTCCAATGAATGACGGATAGTAACAAACAAGACATAACAGTAAAAGGGGGTGTGTGTGTGTAGAAATACAACAAAGGGCCAAGTATCAGCTAAAAGAGCACAGCTGAAAATTGCTATAGCACAGAATGAATAATTTAAAGTTTACCAAACTCGCAAGATATTTGAAAAGTTTCTGAATATCCCTTTTCTCCTCTCTCCTCTTCAAATGACACCTTCTTAATTTAGCACAGGTTCAGGTGCTTCCCCTTCTCTGAACAGTTAACTCCACAGAAGCTTAAGGAAGGTAAGTACAGCAAATTCACATAAGTTGCTGCCCTACAACAGCAGTGATGAACTACCAATTCTCTATGACTACTCTAGCTGCTCCTCAGCGTCTCACCACAGTATTTTTTGTGCTGAAAGAGGTCTGTGAGAGTGACAGCATGCTATGTCATCTGTACACCATACTGCACCCACGCCAGTACCATTCTTCAACAGATTCTGAAAGTTGAAACAGCATTTACTCCCGAGCAACCAAATCATGCAAAGAGAAAGGGCTCTGAAACAAAAGTGTAATGCAATAAAGGGCATACTGTTTAAAGTATGCCTTAAAAAATACCATCAAGAGGGAAGAGTCCTTTAGGAACCTGCATAAACTTCTCTGCTCCATCAGCCTCTAAGAGTCAGATAGCCAGCACCTTCAGTCAGAGCTCCTGAGCCTCTTACTCATGCCCAGTCCCATGCTGAGCAGGGGCCTGCTCCCTCATCACCATTGCAGCACAGCAGCACACCACCTCCTGCCTACAGCTCAGGTGCGGCAGCCGCAGGGAGCGCCAGGCCGGCCCTCGGCGCCCGGGCCAGGCAGGTTCCCGCCACACCGCCCGCGCTCCCCGTGTCCTTCCAGGAGAGGAGCCCTTCCCCTCGCCGCTCCTCGCACCCCCCCAAACTTCCCCCACCTGTTGCACTGCAGCCGGGGCAGCACCGGCCCCGCCGAAGCGGCTCCCCGGGGACAGGGGTGAGGACGCGGCGCCACAGGCAGGGGCCGAGCGGCAGGGAGCCGCTGAGGGGGCGCGTGCGGCTAACAGCAGCGCGGAGCCGTTCTGGGGGGCGGCGGGAGAACGACACCCCCTGCACGCACACACACACACACACACACGCAGAGGTCGGCGCCCCACGTGATTCAAGCTCCACTCCACTTCCCCCCCCCCCGGGCAGGACGCGCGCTGCCCCGGCACCTCCCGCGGGTGGCTCCCTCCCTCCCGCCGCCGCCGCCGCCGCCGCCGCCGCCGCCTCCTCCTCCTCCTCCTCCTCACCGGGCGCCGCGCTCGCTGCCGCCGCCGGCTCCCGAGGCGCGGATCAGCTGATTCACGCGGGGGCGCAGGAGGAGCGTCCACCGTGCAGGGGGGTGGATCCCGGCGTCGGCCCGCGCGCGCAGCGGCACTGAGTAAAGAGGCCGCAGGGCGCAGGCGGGATCCGGCCGCCACCACGACGGGTCCCGGCCCGGGACAAAACAGTCGGAGAGCGAGACCCGCCGGACCGCGGGAGCTCGCTCAGGTGGTGGTGGTGGTGTTGGCAGCACTTTGGGTAGTGGTAAACAGCAGGGGCGTGAGGCTGGTTGTGGGACACCAGCGTTACCGTGCCGGCCTCGAGAGTCACCTGAACATGTATTTCAAACTGTATGGGGCATGAATAAAGAACAAAGCTGTAACCTACACAGGAAGCCTGACCAATACCCGGTAATGTCCTCTCATGCTCCATAAACCCTCTGAGTTCAGCTACTGGTTTGAATGGGAGCACGCCTGCACCACAGTTTGCTGACCTAGGGCCCTCCTACAGGACAAGCTAAACAGTTGCTTACCTGTATACGTAGGCGTACATTAGATGTCTACATGTGTATGTAGAAATTGTGGATGCATGCACACTTATATATGTTTATGCGTACTATATAAACACCTATATGTGCATATACATACTATTATATATATATACACCCATATGTGTATGTACATAGTATTATATATACACATGTATGTGCATAGTATTATATATACACCTGTATGTGCATATACATACCACATACGTGTGTTTCTACTTTAAAAAGCTCTGCAAAATGTATTTTTTATGTTATGCCTGCACTTGGGAGACAGTTTCTTACATTGCCTGAAGCTTTCTTTTAAAACCATGGTTCTGATGGCAGCTAAAGGCTCTCCTTTATAAACTCTTTATGTTTTCTATGGATAACTGTTAAACATTTCTATTAGAGTGTTTCATCTGCTAAGTGGAATGAATACTCCGTTTGATTTTATCTTTTTTCAATACCCAGAACCACCAGCTATTACCCCTGCTTTCTTCATTTACCAGCTCTTGCTAGCTGGTGAAAGTTATATGACTTTTCTTCATAACAGAGTGATTCCCCTCTCCTCCCTAACACAAAATGTAGCTAAAATTAAAATGAACAATCTTCATACGAATTAATATGTAATTAATATTTTTTATATTGTCTTCTTTTTGTACTTTTTTTTTTCTTTTTCCATTTCTCCAAAAGGCAAGTATTGCTTAGGCTTAGATGTATTTTAAAAGTCTATTTATATAAATATGGATACCAATTAAAAGTATTTTCCAGAATAAGAAACTCTGCAGATATGCATCAGTTTATTACTACGTTCACTGCATCTAGACAGCCTTTATAATGCCTGAAGGGCACAGTCAAATTACTGCTGTATTTTGATGGCTCAAAGAATACATGGAAAATAAATAGAAGGCTGAGGTTAATGATGATAGATATTTAGCAAATTATGGCTAACTGGGAAGTGAAAAAGAAAATCATGTGAGAGAAATCAAGCCTTCCAGGTGTGTTAGCTCCTTCTTGCCATGCAAAGGCTGGGTAGTTTGGTTGCAATGAGACACAGAAATTGTTCCTGCCTTCCCAGGAGATTATTGCTTAAAAATATATCCTTTTGCTCAAGGAAAGAGTGTTATTCTTAGGCACCAAAACTGTGAAGCAAAGGGGAGAATTCACATCATGCATACAAATGAAAACTGAAGGACCTAGGGGGTTGGCATAAAAATTCTGTGGTATGATGCCTGCTCCCTCACCCCTTGCTGGCATTTTCTCAGTGTGGGTTGGGTGTTAGTCCTAGGAAACTGCACAGCAAGCCCTACTCATGGGGGACTGAAAGAAAGGGACTTCTGTCTGTCCACATCCAGTGTAAACCGCAATGTGTTGCCTGCTTAGCACATAATTGATGAAATCTCTTTGAGTCTGGATTAATCTGTTTGGTCTGTCTATTTTGACAAGCCTATTTTCTACCAGCTGAAACTCACTGTATCCTTTAGACAAGTGATCCAACAGGGACAGACAGCTCCTGAAGCTGACATTGCCACCACATCGTGGTTAAGAACATAAATACCAAAGCAAGGTCGATGCTCAGCTCCTGAAGAAACCACAGCTCAGCCACACTGCTCAGATAGCTCAACTTAAAGCCTAATGGCTAAAGCCTAAAGCCTAGAATAGTAACTGCTACAGACATGGAGGGAAATCAAGGTCTGTTCCTGTATGAAACCTATCACTTCATTACCTAACATATTATACTGAGAGCTGTTTAAGTGAAATAAATTTGAAAGCACAGAAAGTTTGAATTTACTACTGTCTCCATCTTTAGGTACAAAAAACGTTGGCTGTTTATGGAGCACACATGCCAAATGACCTGAAATCAATAGAGCTACTCCAGGGGTGAATCTGGCTCACTGAATGTTGGACTTCCAAAGAAAAACTGCAGAAATCACAAGACTGCTTGAAGCAGAGACCTCATACAAGACATATGAACTCTTATTACAGACAGAGGGATGAGGAGGAGCAAAGGAGAGAAAAATAGGTACATTTGAACTGAAACAGGACCACATGGGAGACCTGTTGTGTGTAAGTGCTGTCAGAACAGGAGGCTGCAGCTGCTGTTCAGAGAGAAGGGGCTCCCAGCATATCACAGGCCCTCAGCACACAGAAGCAGTGTCTACAACAGAGCTATTTAATATCACACGGTGATTATTCTGCATTGAGATACATTAAGCCTGGGTTCTTCTGCTTGTAGGACTGCAATACATTCACATTTGCATGTAACCAGACAGTATCAAACTTTGCAGCTTCAGGTTTAAGAAGCTACTGAAGGAGGACTCTGTGCCTTAGATGACAATAAACGCCTTTGATGTGATGAACAGGGAGAAGATGGCATTCCAGCAAGTTCTATGCCAGTGAGGGACTGTAAAACAGGGAGGGAGCCAACAATGTACAGTTCTGGAAGAGGCAGCATGCCATAGATTACAAATCCTGTTATATTTGAGTCAAATGATAATGCAGGCACCCAGCCAATGTGGCTGCTCAGGAGGAGCTTGCAGCTTGCCTGCCATTCATTACTACTATTTTTATAGTTGTATTGTTCGTGGCACTGTTATGCTGTATGTGCCAAATTAGCACACTGTGTAAATTAGAACAGTGCAGGGAGGAGGGTGTCAAGGAAGAGAAGAAGGCATAAATTTAGATTTCCTGAAATTTCACTCCTGCATTTGGTTTTTAGTCTGTGTCCTAAGAGATTGCTATCTAGAGATGAGTAAATCAAGGGTAAGAAAGAATAACACACATTTAGAATGTTACTGGTAAAAGTGTCCTCTGCAATTAAGGCAGTTTTATCTTTGTTCTCAGGGTGATCGCTACCATTTACCAAGACAAGAACATACAAGTAGTTGTTTCCCTTACAAATGGAGCTGAGAGACCATACTGGAGATCTGTGACTGGTGGGGAGGGAGATGAAAATGATGTGCAGTGCTCAAAGCCAGTGCAGTCAGGGAGAAACGAAACACTTCAGTAACATGGTGGGTTGCCAGTGGTACAATCTGCCTTCTTTTCCTGTGCCAACTGTTGGATGTAACCACTGCACCCCTTCCTCTACCCTCACAGCAGCCCCGGCAGCTTCACACCCACTGGAGTTGGAGGTCCAGGATGGAGAGGCCTTGGAGTCACACTGATCCTTTCCGGGAGTAGGATGTTGTGGAGAGCTTCAAATGGGTGAGTGCGCAGCATGCATAGTGCCAGGCAGGAGATATTTCACCCTGTGATTATTCCAGCTATGAATTTCATTACTGAATGACATGCTAGTAGCTTCTTGGTCTACCCGGCAATCTAAAACATACCAATTTCTTCATGAAACAGAGACCAGGCATGCCCTTTGGAGCTGCCACATCCTATGTACATCTAGAGAAGCTGTGTGAAGGATCCTGTGCAACTGTGTACAAAGGGATCAGCAGGTAAGCAAGGACCACTGGTGCCATTATTGCCTTCCCAGTGTCTGTTGAAAACACCTGTTATGGGAGATAAAGGCAAATTGAATGTCCACCTTTGCCTTTAGTGAGAATACTTACAAAGCTCTATCTGAATTTCTATGGGAACTCCTCCACTATAGCCATTTGGTTCCACAGAGACACTGTGCTCCACAGCAGCATGCTGGAAGATTGTCTGGCTGCACTAAGGAGGGAATGAGCATTTTCCTTTAAATAAGGAATCCCTGCATGACAGAAAAACTGGGGATAAGGCCATGCTGCCATCATGCAGGGGCAGGAAAACTGTGAGAGGGCAGAGTGGGAACACTGCCCAAAGCCATGCTCTAACAATACCCAGTCAGCAGAACGATGCTACTCTAGCGGGGCAGGCTGGCTCCTGTTCCACTGCTAATGAGGACAACATGGAGGTGGTTTGTAATTCCCTTCTGAGCTTGGCCTGGGTGGGAAAGTGGGCCCTAGAAATTTTGCTTGGGTAAGTGTGGGGCACTTAACGGGAGACCACTAACGTTGCTATGCCAGACACCACTCTGCCCTGACAGGAACAACAGCCAGTTGGTAGTGCTGAAAGTGATCCGGCTGGAGGCAGAGGAGGGAGTGCCCTTTACAGCCATTCGGGAAAGTAAGGCAGAAAGACCTGCTTCAAACATGGGTGAAGAGCGAGGAGCATCACTGTGCCAGCTGCAGCCAGAGCATGTCCTTTCTATCAGTGTAGGGGCCTTCTTACACCTCTTGCCTGCTCCGTAGTTGCTTTCTCATTCCCACATCTGTACACTAGTGCTGCATTGCAGGTTTTGCCACTGTTGCATTGGGCAGCTGTGGACTAGAAGTGCCCTTTGTACCATGATCTCTGCTTGCGCTTACCACAAACAATCTGGCTGATACCTGAAGCATCCAGGTCTGATCGCAGCCTGAAGAGAAATGCTCTCAATAAAACTGGTGTTTAATAACAGCTATCATTTCAGCTGCATGAGAAATTATTTCTATCGGTCAACTTCGTAGAGCACTGGCAAAATGTCTGCAGCTCTCTCAATTTCTTTGAGAAAGAAATACTTTTGTTTAAGTGCTTGATTTTGGCTTAGCGTATTTACATGTCCCCACAGACCAAGTTTATAAACTGCCTGGCTGATTAAGGCTTCTATTTTTGTCTGTTCTACGATCCCAAGAGGATCATAATCTGATTTCTTCCTTACACAGAAACATGCAACCTTTGTGCCAGTCTGTTGTCTGGTGTTAGTGAGAGCCATTGATGTAAGAGGTCACATGTATTTTGGTTTTTACGTGTTATCGCAGTTCAAAGCTAGGGCTGGGATAGAGAGTCTGGGACCAGATGTGCCAGCTTTCACAGAGCAGCCATAGTATAGAAGGACTCTCATAGCAGTCAGCCAAGAATAACAAGAGAGGTCAGTGTACACACTCCAGGTTTACAACAGTGTAATTAAGATAAGAAAGTTTACGAAGTCCTTAGTCCAATTGTGGGAAAGCAGAGAGATACCTAAATACACCTATTTACAGAATGGCTTGTGTTACAGTTTCCTATACACTCATTTGCTGTGGTGCTTTTGCTCTGCATTTACACAGCCCACCAGTAAAATAAGCCTTAAAAGCTTTATCTACATAGAACTAATGACGCTCTAAAGATCAGCACCCCTTTAACATGCTCTACTGGACAGGCTGAGAGCCTTAACTTCATTCATTATGGGAGAAAACAAGGGTGATCCTATGAAAGGTCTACTTTAAGTAGATCTTTTGTGTACTGCTGAGCCTTGCAGCATCTGACACCTCAAATTTACAATGTAAGTCAGTAGGGCAAACAAAGCACAAGATTTATTAACACGATGCTTTCTATGCTACCCTGGAGGAATGGTACTCTTGTGACAAAAAGCAGCTTCACCCCAGGAAGTCCCACAGAGACAAAATGCCTTTAAAGCTCAGTTCTGGCTGTAGCACCTGACACCCCAGCAGGGGGTTGTAGAAGCAACCAAGTGAGGAGCCGTTCCCAGCGGCCTGATTCAGGCACAGGGGCTAAATTCTCCATTTTATTGTGAACCCTCCATGCTGCTCTGCTGGAGCAACAGCTCTGGTCATATGGAGGTTTTTGAGGTATTGCAGAGCCAGGTTAGCAGCCCTTTTCCATAGCAGGTGGCATCTAGACAGAGTACCTTTACTGGGCTCATAAGCAATTAGATGCAACGCAGAGCATGTTTAAAGTGCATGCTGCTGTGCACTGGAAACACACTGGTGGTAGCTAAATGGACTAGCATCAGTACTAGAGGCAGTTTAGCTGCAGTGGCAGCACCAAGCTCTTCAGAAGAACTAATTTACAATCTGTGCTGTTTCCAGCCGTTATGCTGAATCAGGCATCCCTTGCTGCTCAGCAGTCTCAGTACTGACATAAGCTTAGGCCACAGCTGTGGAATACAGTATATCTGGCTGTAGGGCTTTTAGAACCAGGTGAAATTGTTATGGTCACAAAACGCAAAGTGCTAATCCAGTATGAATTTACTTTGCCAGCATGAAATTCTTTAAATATCTTCTGCAGACTGTTTGAAAAACAAAAAGCAGCTTTTATCCAGGACCAAACCTCATTTGGCCTCCCACAGCCAGCCCAAACTCTGTATTGTGTGCTTCGCTAATTCAGCAAAAATGAGATTGGATGCCCATGCCTTATCTGAATGAAATTTGTAGCACTGAGTGGTCAGGCTGGTAACTAATTTGGTTTCAATCAGCAGGGAAAAGTGAGCCTGGAGCAGTTCTGAGGCTGTTTGGCTATTCTGCTATGTCAGAAGCTGAAATCTGGAGTCAGGACCCCTGTTTTTGCTGAGCATTGGGGCTTCTGTCTGTTCACAGTTTTGGTGTAATAGCTCGTCAGATTCTTCAGGAGGGCCAGGGATCTACAGGCAGAATTATGCCAGTTCCACTCCTTCCCCACATGACTTCCCTATTGAGCTATGGCAACAATTGTCTCAAACCTAAGGTAGCAAATAATGAAGCTGTGGATGCTCTCCCCCCATAAAGACTATGTTTGAGACTTTCTGCTGAGAAGCTGCCTTCATGAGAGAGTTGGCTGGAGCCTGCACTACCATGACAAACCTAACACAACGCTGAAAGGCTCGGAAGGCTGTAGCTTATGTCTTGGCATCAGTCAGTGCTCTGTGGCCTGCAAGGCAGTAGAGACTCTTCCATGGGCTGCCACTTCCATCACCACACCCGAGATGTGATGAGGCTTGGCAAAGGCATGTCAGCACGTAAGGACCATGGCCATATGGCTGCAATGATGCTTTTAGATGGTTAGGCTGAAAGAAAAAAGATGTGCCAAAGTTGTATAAATATAAACAAGTTACTGTTCACTCGGTAACTTTATCATCTCTGCTCTTTGAGTTTTAAATGGGAGAAAGTAACCAATATGCTTTCTCCAAGCTAAAAGCACAGAGCTAAATTCAGAATTCAGCTTAGCATCTACAGTCATTTCTTTTGCCACATTTCTACACCTTGATATTGTGAAGCTGGAAACTGATAGAAACTCAGCTTTCCCCAGAAGTCTCCCAGAGGCCCAGCTGAGGGCATGTGCCAGGAGGCAGATGGAAGAAGGATGAGAAGCTCAATGACAGGCTGGAGGCTTCTGCATTCTGTCTCTGGGAGCTCCCAGAGCCATCCTCTTGGCATTTGCCTTGAAGAAATTCCTTCTCCTCAGCTGAGAAGCTGACAGCTGGGAACTGCAAGCTGCTATTTCTGACAGCAGGAGCCCACCTCTGAGAGAAGGACAGGTTCCTGCCAAGCCTGGAGCACTGATGCTTGCTTCTCTAAGGATCTGTTCCATCCTCCTCCAGACTCAGTAGTTGCTGCTTCTTACAGAACTGCCAATTCTGGACTATTTCTCCCCAGTTTTTTATTCTCATTGCCTTTCTGTGTGCACCTTCTCCTTCCATTTCCAGCAGCAGTGATTAAATTGATCTTCCTTTTGTGTTTTTCCAGCTTCCCTTCTCATGCATTTGAAACATGCCAATGTTGTACTGCTTCATGACATTATCCAGACCAAGGAGACACTAGCATTTGTCTTTGAGTACAAGGTAAGTTGTTGTTTTTCTAGCTTCCTGTGGAGCTAGTTGTGGTAGTTACATTCCAAAGACTAAAGAACTGAGCCCATTTATAATAAAAGCAGGAAAGCGTTTATTGCGTTACATACATACCGACCCCACTATGCAGCACATGAGGACACCGAGAATGGAGCTTTTCCCCAGAGATATCATGAGGGATTTGGCTGAGCCAAAGCAGGCGCAGCTCTTAAGCAGGCGTCCCCATGGAGGCAATGTTGTCCTTGATGCTGCGGCTATCTCCTCGACTCTGGGGCTCTCCGTCTTTTATCCCTGAAGGACCACCCAGTTGTTCCGGCACGTGTGGCTAACATGTGCTGGGAGAGCCATCTGTCCCGTCCCTCTCTAGGGGCCACTTTGTGCCTGCCCAATTATGCTCTGGGGAGCTGCTCCTCAATTCAAGGGTCGTTACTTCATCTTCCATGGTCTTCCTCTCTCACCCTTTGGCCAGCCCCTTCAGTCGTTTGCACAGAGTTGCATACCTCAGCATAAAAGTTTCGACATGGTGCACTTAGTCCTTCTGTTATGTACACAGCTCCTCCTTTCTGTTTCACTTGCCATCTCAAAACTTCCTCATAGTCGTTTGTGTGGTGAACTCGTGTCTGCGTTATGACCCAAAAGGAAAATTCACTCTTACAGCCTCCTAACACACTAGTACTGTTAAGTGGCTGCATAATGAACTTACTGCAGTATGAATTATCTATAGAGGCAAATTGTTAGTGCAATGATTGATTTTGTTTCCTGATCTCTTGCTTTCCAGACACACAGATTCTTTTCTTTCTGTATATGACAGCTGTATGCAAAAATGATTCCACACCTTGTCTTCACTAGGGTGGCAGACACTATTTACCACCATTTCTGTCTTGACAATGCAATAAAACTACTGTTCTCGAGCCACAATAAGGATAGGAAATAATGATACATCCCAGTTGGGGTCAGATTTGGCACTGACACCAGTGGCTCACCATGACCCAGCTGTGGCTTGCTCTCATGGGGAGAGCAGGATGCTAATAAAACAATTTCTCTGCATGAATCTTGCTACTTCTGTTGCTTTTGCTGATAGCTGTCAACCAAATCATAAGGAAAATATAGAGGCTATGTCTTTTTCCTGCAGCTTTATGATTAATTATGGCACAAGCATGAATCCTCTTATCTATCAGCTTCAGTTCATAAACTGCTGGCATGAGATAACGTCAGCCAGGTCTCTGATTTGACAAAGCACTCAAGCATATCCTTGTGTCCTTATCAGATCAGATGTTCACCAAGGTGAAAGAGATGCCTTTATAGTGGTTGCATATTTTTTCCATTTACAGAAGAGGCATTATTGGTAGAAGCATTTCACACAAGTAGCTTTGCCTCAAGTTCTCCTTTTCTATTTAGCGCACAGACCTAGCACAGTACATGGGCCAGCATCCTGGAGGACTTCATTCGTGCAATGTTATGGTGAGTTCCTTTGAATACTCATAGCCCTTGAAGCATGAGGAAATGTTATTTTCTACTGTGTATAGTCATTGTAAGTTGCTTACTGGTATTTATTTGTTCCATAGATGACAAAAACTTTAGAGAAAAGCTGCCTTCCATAAGGATTTAACAACCTCCCTGTCAGTCTCCAAAGCCTTTTTTTGGTTAGTCCCTCTTCACATTTTCTGAGCCTGCAAGAGGACATGCAGCTTTTGTGAACAATGACATCTTGTGGCAGGGAAATCTGCCTCTACACAAATTTGTATCCTCTTACCATTAAAATACATTATTCATCTCTTCTTAAAGCCTCTCAAATCTCACTCTCTCCTCATTGGGAACTCTCTGCATATTTATGGTCTTATGGTCACGTAAATCCCTTTTGTTTCTACTACAGCTTTTTGTAATTGGTTGCCTGAACCTGAGCACAGATGAAGATGTACTTTATAGAGTGATTTTGTAATAGTCGCCTGCTCTCTTTTTTATGTGTGTTCACATTTAATTAACTTCCAGGATTGTTGCTGCGCACTGACTTGAGGTTTCAGTGCAGATGTCCTCAGTGAATGCCTGGGTCCTTTTCCTGAGCAGCTTCAGTTAATGTATCTTACAGCTGTCAACAATAACTTTGTAACTTATCAAACTGCCTGTTCATCTGACTTTGTCAGATCTCGCTGAAGTTCCCCACTGTCACTTCTTATCACAGCTAATCTAAATACTTCTGTCATCTCCAAATGTTGCCACCTTGTTCACATCTGTTTCCAGATGGTTGTTAAGCAACACCAATTCCAAAGAAGTTTATTGGGGCCTCTGATTTTAAACATCCTTAAAGCTCAGATATGTCCAAGATGCAGTGTTGTAGTTTTGGCACAGATCTCAAGGGTTCTGCTACCAGACAGACTTGTAAAGCACATGGGGTGCACGGCTGTAACATGTACTTACGGGCATTTCTGTGAGTCAATACTAGCCAGCTGCTCTGCTTTCCTGCCTGAAATCCTCATTGTCAGCAGGAACTGAACTGCAAAATTATTTTCTCCTCCTTTAGGAGGGTCAACTGGCTTGCACCATTTTTGCTGGCGAATGTTTGTTTTTTTCTCTGATTCTTACTGTCTATGTTGCAAGTATACAGAGTATTACATGGTCTCTTTTCTGGTACAAAAATGACCTATGGGTGTCACTGTTTTTCCTCCTCTTCAGATTAAACTTCTGGTGAAAAATATCTCTTCTCTGGTGAAGTCTAATTACGTTTGCTGTGTTTTGTTTCTGTCCACTGTCCCACTTCATGCATTGTTTCAGCTCAACTTATTTTACCCCAAGCTTATCGACGCTGCCATGGTGGTGGGAGTTGGATATTTATTTATTGCGTGTTTTTGTGCTTGCTTGCTCCTTTCATGATATCTTATTTGTTACATCCGTTCAAATCAGGTCCTTCTGTTTTCGCCCATCCTGAAGGTAACAGCTCACACTGTCAAGTTAGGCCTGCTCCCTGGTCCAGCTTACCCTTGGCAGAGGTGATGCATGCCGCGGCTGCAGCACTCCCTCTGCTGGTGTCCGCGGGCTCAGGTGGGCAAAACTTGCCAGCTCCGTAAACCCTCGTTGTGCTCGGCTGTATGCCTTTGTCCTGAAAGCGGAAATCAGTCTCTCCTGTTTTGAAAGCCGAGATTGCTCCTGCAATCAATAGTCCGCTTCTAAAGAAAAGTTACATTTCCAAAATGCGCACTTAGGGACTGCAATGTAACTGTCCTCCTGGCCAAATATTGCCCTCTGAAACCCTCAGAAAGCTGCAGGACAGTCATACCCACTGCAGTTTTCCCTTCCTCAGCCACCTCATCTGGGGATTTTTACTGGTTTCTTACTTGCTTTGCCTCTGCTTTGTTCCAGGAGTTCTCCTGAAGTTCAGAGTTAATGTATCAATGCAAAGTCACACAAAATCATTTCAGTTTTTTGTTGGCTTTTCCTAGCTTTTCATGTTCCAGCTTTTGCGTGGACTGGCTTACATCCAACAACAACACATTCTTCACTGTGATCTGAAACCCCAGAACTTGCTCATCAGTTGCCTTGGTGAGCTCAAATTATCAGACTTTGGTGAGTCACCATTTGGATACTGCTAATATATCTGCTCAGACCAAAGCTACAATGTGCATATAGATCTGTATCCACAGCCAATTAGGCACAGAAGCATAACCTCTTACTAAACTTCAGGAAACTATTTCTGTGGTCAGTCCAGCCTTTCTTGCATTTATTCTGATGGGTGCAGGGAGTAACCTCGTTTGAGACAGAGCAATTACTGCCACATAAAATTGTTTCAAGGGAATTGAGAATCAGCCCCTCTCTGTTCAGAAAATTAGATAACATGTACAGTCCACAGCAATGTGCTGAACCAAAAGGTTTTCTTGGCATTGGTTTGGGATGGCCGCTTCAGTCACAAATGGTAAAGCCCTGTAAAACACAGCATATTGCTTGATCTGATTTGCCCCAGAGGTATATTCCAGACACACTTTGTAAACTGCATTGGGATTGCTTGTGTTTAAATATCCAAGAGAAAATAATGTCTTGTTTTGAATTATTATCATCTATGTGTTGTACAGGCAGAAAGATTGTCCTGACAGAGCAGTCTTCCTTATTCTGTTGCAGGCCTTGCTCGTGCCAAGTCCATCCCTACACAGACATACTCCTCTGAAGTGGCAGCACTCTGGTACCATCCTCCTGATGTTACTTGGATCTACAGATTCTGATCTAGATATCTGGTACTGACCAATTTTAAAGCATCTGGGGTCCCTTGGGAAAAATCATCTTTACCTGAATTAAATTAAGTCAACCAAGTTACAGTAGACACAGTTGTAAGTAGAGAAATTAACACCTATTAAAACGTGAGCAGTGGGGAGTTTTATACATAGAAGCTTTTGGGAATGATGTCACTACATCTCAGCCATGGATTTATATAAACATCATCTGATAATATTTATGAGCTATGCACATCTAATTTGGTAACATTTATGAAGCAATTTCAGGTTTTGCAACAGAACACCTTCGCTTAATGCACTTAGTGTTTTGTATCTATATGGTTGGCTCAGTCAGTGGTAGCTCTCTGCAGCAATGGCTTTGTGAAGAAACAATGGATCTGCAACTGCCCCAGCAATGCCTTTGGCCTTGGTAAACAAAAACAAAAATAAGTGGCATTAAAGGGTTTCTGAATAGGTCTGGAGATAGAAAGGTATCTGTGATTTTCATTATTTCTGTGATACTTTGTCCTTCTCAAAGAACATGTCTCAAATGCACTCTGCATTTTGTACAGAAGAAGAGCTGTGTTCTATTAAAGCCTTGTCACCTTACAAGCTGTATCCGGAAATCTTAATATGGCTGGGAATCACAGAAAATGAGCTGCATGTTTGCAGAGCTGAAGAGAGAAGAGTCTCTGAGAGCAGACAGAAAGCAGGAGAGGATGAGGACTTACTTCATAGGGGTCACAGTGGTCTTTTTGGTCTGGTCTGGATGTTTAGTTAGCCCTTGTGGCTCACTTCTGCACCAGACTGAGCCTGCTTCCAGCAATATAGTCCTGACTTACACATAGAAAACATGCAGCTCATGAAGTTGCAGGGGACCACCCATTTTCTGCAGTTTTACATCTGTAGATGGTATTGCTGCTTCACCCTTTCTTCAGACCAGTTAATTTTCTGTCTGTGCCTGTCAAACTGGGACTTTTCTTAACTGCTCTGCAGAGTCAGAGGCTGGGAAAGGGTAGGTGTGGAGTAAGCTTAACAATGTGCAAGAAGAGGGCTGGGTAAGCTTACAAGCAGCAAAGCTCCAGGTCCCCTCAGGCTGTATTCCCCTCGAGAGATCTGCGGCTTACTGGAGACTCTGATGGCCTAAATCTGGAGGGCAGTGCAAGGAAACAGGAGTTTTTGGTTTGTTCACTTCCCTGGGCCTGGTGCTAATTTAATTGCTTTAAGATTTCTCCAAGGAGGAAAACCTTGCTAAATTCTAATGGCTTCCAGCTGCTAAGCCCGTCTAAATAGTCCTGTCTTCTCTCCCCCACTACCTGTCACCTCTCCCCTCCAGACAGTCTCTCAGGAATGTCTGCCGAGTTTAAAGAAGATGCCTGCATAGCAGATTGCAGGGTTTGTATTAGACAGATGCTGGTGCAAGCCTGTTGTGTTTTTTTTTCCTGAAAGTTGACCCTGTCCAAAACCCTGGCTACGCACAGAAAGCCTGGCATTTCTGCCTGTGCAAAACCAACATGTAACTCTGCTCTAGTGTAATGAATAGCAACGTAAGAGTGATATACAAAGGTCCCATCCAGCACTCTGACCAGCTCTAACAGCACAGTACTTTGAGTCCCACTGAACTGCATTCACACTATAGGCACCATTGTATATAACGCCTCCTTATAGTAACAACATTCAAAGTGTTTTCCCTAAAGAAAGATGTCACGCTGAGAGAATAGAGAGTACTTCAGTGAGCTCTATTCAGTAACTTCCTCTAACAAGAGTCATTTATTATCTTGATGTACACTGCATTTAAGTTCAATTTTTGTCTATTAGGAAATAATGTGAATTCACACAGATGTTACTTGTCTATTGGGAAGAAAGGGAAAAAAAAAGCCCTATGTCTTTTGGATGCTGCAGTTTACATGAAGGCAGATCAGAATGCCCTTGGTAACTGCACGAGACAGTGGGTGTTAAAGCCATGGTTTAAAGAAACCAATTATAACAAAATAAAATATTATGGCAATTCATGCATAGTGTGCTTGAGCAGCAATACTGTCAGTGGGAGGCACATGGGAAGTGAATGAGGCCTTGAATAGATGAAGAAAGAGATATAGAAGGAGACTCACTCGCTCTTGGCCTAACTAGAAAAACTGCTTTAATCTCCCTGTATCTTTTTTCACTCTCTTTCTCCCTCACTATCTCTTCCGGACTTTAGAAGATTCAATTAAGGGATTTCAGGGAGACTAACGTTTCATAATGTTTCAGGGAGATGACACTGCATATCAGAAAGACTTCTCTGGGCTTTTTATAACACCAAGTGTTTTATGCACGTGCTGCACTGTAGCTGCTAACATCATGAGAGCCTTAAGTCATGTCTTCTTTTCAGTCAGGCTTTCTTTGTATGATCTTCCATTTAAAAAAAAAACGAAACAAAACCGATGATCACAGGAATCTTCCCAGGTAGATTCATGTAGAATAGAAGTTCCTGTGGAGTCATTTAATGTGGGTCTGCGAGCCCACTACAGCCTTTCCCCCAGCCTGGTTCACATTGTCCTACTGTGCCAACCCATGAGATAGAGGCTATGGGCTTCACTGTACAGACCACGCTCGGTGAGGAACACAAGAAAGGATTTCTCATTAAAGATGTCATTGCAATCCCCCAATATCAGCAAAACTATGGAGAGGGAACTCTGGGATACTGCAGAGATATCTTAGGTCTTAATCCTGATGAAATCGTCTCTCCACTATGTAATGCAGCACTGCAGACTGAGGAGTAAGTGCAGTGTTCAAACCCACCTCAGGGACTGCAGGCAGATGCAACCGTGCTGTCTGAACCAGCTCTGGTTTTGCTCACTAACTGTTCCTATAACCAGTTATACCTCTCCTATTGCTTTAGCAGTCACTGTCTTGGTTCATGTGTGTATCTGGCACATGCTGAAACATCAGGTCTAAGCCTCTTCCCAAAAGACCCCTCCCTCTGCCTTAGCCCTTCCAAAGGTAACTATATGGGACTGAGACCTTTGAGAAACTTACAGACTGGAAAGGATAAGAGTACCTCAGAAATTAATATCAGAGGGGAAAGAAGAAAAAGGACAAAACCCAAAACACTAGGTCTAAATCTTTAGAAATATTTAAAAGTTAATGTTTCTGAATTATCCTCATTAACAGCAGGATTCTCATAATGCTGTCAGAGCAGTAACTGCAAATCTTTCTCAGAAGAAAAGTTGAAGCCTCTACTGAAAGGCTAATATGATGACTAGCACTAGTTTCCAAAGTCCTACTTCAACAGATAGACAAAAATACCTAGGGAAAGGGGGCGGTGCCCTCACATCAGTTGTTCTAGCTATTTCTGGCTTTTATTTTTTTAAAAATAAAGAAAAGTGTATTTCATCTGGAAACAAACGAGAGAGAAACAGTGATAATTGCCACTGATGAATCAATGCAGCACCAAGCAGGCGTTAAAGGCAGCTGATTCTCGCTAAAGGAAACAAGAAGCCTTTCCAGAGGTTGTGGCTGTTCTGATAGTTTTGTCTTTATTAGAGACACTGAGGTGTAAAGGCTTCCAGAGATAACAAGAATAAACCAGGAATACAACGGAGAGTTCTACCAGAAAGTGCACTCATAACAACCCGCAAGGTGTTCCTCTCCTCAAACTCACAGCTTGCCTATAAGTGCAAAGACTGTTTCATTAAATTTGAATTTTTGGACTCTGCTCGTGGGTAATTCTTAGCAAATGCTAGCTACATCTAGGAAAATAAGGCTTCTGCTGTTGCCAGTCTAATGCTATTTCTAGCTAGGATATCAGAACCCAAACAGTGGGGAACATCAGGATCATTTGCTTCAAAAACACAGAGCTGATTCTCTTCTAGAAATCAAGAATACCTAAATTGCTTTGACCACATGCAATTAAACTTGTGCAATAGAATCAGTGGATTACAGCAGCCCGTAGTTGCAAAATAGGGTGGGCGATTTGGGCACATACATCAGCTGTGAAAAAAAGCCAAAAGGTTGGTATGACACTGGTCTCAGTAGAATCAGTCTGTGGGCTCCAGAATAATATCTAGTGATCTGTAGTGCTATGAAACACAAAACCCCCCTATATTGCAAAAGCTGTGGGTTAAGTTCCATGGTGCCTGCATCCTGAAAAAGCATTAGGCAAGCAAGCAGCTAAGCTCACAGGACCCAGAGTTAGGAGGTTAGGATATAGGAAACCAAGGCAAAGTGCAGCAGAGATGTTTGTGAAAACAGCATTAGATATGGATCTGCAAACAGGCTTGGCATCACCTGATGCACAAGCATGCCTAAAATACTGCAGATGAGTCACATGTCAGGCTCTCAAGTGACCACAGCCAGGTAGGAAAAGCATCTACAGTAGTACAAAAACAAGCTGCAAGGGGTAACACAGCAGTAGAGATGACTAGAAGAGATTACCAGTTGTTGCTTAGCAAGTGAAAATAATACTTTCAGAGCCTGTTAGTCAAAGCTGGGGTTTCAATATTTGAGCTTAAAGGACCCAAATTTGCTATAACCAAAGAAGATTAATACTGAAACCTGAAAAGTTGAGATGGGGCATAGTGAAGAGATGGGGCATAGTGAAAAATGGGAAACAGAAAAAGTTTGGGAAAAAAGATGAAAAGGTAAATGAGCAGAGTTTTACACCGTACAATAAGATATGGAAAAACTTGAAAAGATAAGTTTACCCTGACCACAACCACCTCATCATTATTGCCAATAGGACTAATTCACCTAAATATAATTAAGCATTTTTTGCAGGGTTTAGTGGGTTATTTTAAGCTGGCTGGTTTGCTCTGGCACAAGTGAAGAGTGGGGGATGGCATAAAACTTAAGAATAACTTGCTGTTGTCACCAAGTTCTTTATACAATGAAATCTTGCCATCAGTTTTCCAGTGAAAAGCTAATTTCTCCTGAAGGAAAAACCATTCTAGTGGGTAGTGTCTCTGGGTTCTTTCTGCTTCTGATGTGTTCTTCAAGCCCATAAAGTGTGCAACACTTCCCTGTTTATCTTTCCTACTGTTATCACTCTGATTTTTCACCTATTCTGCAGACTTCTGCCACAACCAGCTTTTTGGATGGGTTTGTAACAGGATCAATTAAGAGACCTGAAACAAATTGTTTGGTGCTGGAAAAAAAACCCCAGTGTTTAGTGGGTTTATTTTCAAAGGATATCACCTGCCTTGTCTTGCTGGTGAAGGGTGTGTGTGGGGGGGTGTGTGTGAGTTAGTGGACGGTGCTAATGAGAAAAAGGAGATGGCAACAGACTTGCATGGAACTTTGACTGCTTTACTCTTTTCTATAATCCTGGAGGGATGTGAATGTGATGTACCTCTGGTCTGCTCCCATGCTGTTTGACTTACCAGCTTTTTAATCCAAGTGTTTCAACCTGTAGGACTTGAATGAGGTTAACAATACTGCATAAAACTCGAGCAGAAGCCAGTTGCAAGTGCTTAGAACAGTGTTGAGGGAGGTATAAGATGTCCCTTCCCAAAGGAAACCTTCCTGACTTCCAAGTCGGTAGGGTTTTTAATAATGCTACATCTTGCCTACCACCATGCTGTAGAAGTGTATCAGTCATCACTGAACCCTGTATTTATGTATACACAGACACTCTGCATCCGGCCTTGCTTCACACACGCATACACTCACACGCTCTCACTAGATGACAGGAGGTGGGTATACAATACCTACACATCAGACTGGTACCTTTCAGACTTGAGCTTCAATATGTATAAGGTTTACAGCTTCTATCAGGATTTCTGCATTTACAAGTCAGGATTTCTAAATTTCTATTCCAACAATTGCCTACCTTCATCTCTTCCCTGCCCATCCCAACAATCATACAATGTATGTCATGCATGTGAATGAGCTAATACCTTGTTTTTCTTGCAGGAGTGCAGGCTGTGTATTTGTTGAAATGATCCAGGGCCAGCCAGTATTTGCAGGAACTTCTGGTACTCATGAACAGCTGCTGAAAATCTGGAAGGTTAGTAAAATACACCCTGAAATTGGAGAGAAAAAGAATCTGCTGCTCCAGCTCCCTACTTAATTTTGAAGTCCTAAAATAGGTCCCGTGAATAGCAGAAATAATTTGGTCCAATCTGACAAGTTCATAGCAGACTTTGTAACCCATTTTCTACTTGGCAAGTTTCTTACAGACATAGGAGTAAATCAAATGACTTTCCTTTGATGTTTGTCATCTCATCAAAAATTTAAAGCCAATTAAAGTGACATCAAATTGAAGGCATAAAAGGTGTGCAGGTACTGCAGATTCTATTCCTTCTTGTTAAACCCGTTACTTACTGTAGGATACAGCACACCATATTCTCACAAAAGAGCTCTAATACTGCTCTTAAACTACCTTGAAAATGGCAAAACCCTGAGGTCTTTCAGAAATCCTTAACTTGGAACATTTTGTATCATCCAGTTTATGGTGCAGCCCTAGAGACTGCTTTGGCATAATGGAAAGTGTGAAATTACTTTATAAAGGCAGCAGTGAGTGAGAGCAGACAGATTCAGAAGCCTCTTAAGCCCTTTTTTCTGCTGGAGAAACTGAAACACAGAGCTATGTCCTTAGTGTAGTTTGGTAGAATTGAGGCAGTTATGAGCACTAGTGGATTCTGTATGTTCCCTCATTGCTGACCCTGTTACTGACTTAACAGGAAGTTCAACCTATACATTCCTCTTGGGTTTTGCTGTAGGTGTCTGCCCTTTCACATGTCCTCCTAAGGAGTTATTTTTCTGCACAGAGTGTTTCCCAAACATGGGTTTTCAAAGAAAACAGAAAACTGTGAGAAAGGACTTTATAGCCTCAAGTCTGTGTAAGTCAGACTTTTCCTTCTTAATCCCTTCACCCAGAAACACTCCTGTCTGGTTTTCCTCTCTGCTTTCAGCTAAAATGTGATAAAAAGTCAAAGAGGTGGGACCAGTTCTTAGGCTTGAATTCAGTCCATTTAAATAAATGCTGAATTTCTCTTTTGTAGTGAAAAAAAAAACAGAATTACTGAGGGGTCAAAAAAAATCTATACGTGGCCAATTAATAGAGTTCAAAGCCAGGGCAGAGCTGAATTTCCCAGAGCGTGAATGAAGGGTATCCTTCCACTTACAGCTCTGAAATCTCTGGATACATTTCCTGTGGTTTTGCAGTTGGAAGGTTATAGCCGTATCGTCATTTCTCTGGTATTATAACTAATACCGTGATTAATAGGATTTGTGCTATAGAAGGCAAAAAACCCAAACTTATTTAAAAATCATGAGGAAGCTTTAAGAGCCATGAAATAATTAGTGCCATTCACAGAAGGTTTTCTGTTATTATACAGCCTGGAATGAGGCTCTGTGTTAGGCCAAGATTTCAAAGCTCCTTAGAGGCTTTCGATGGCTAACTTGAGATATTTTGCCGAGTCTGAGGTTCAGAATGGGGATTCCTACTGTTTCCTAATAGTCAGTTCCTTTCATGTACTAATAATGGAGGCACCCTGCACTGATTTAGACTGTCTGCATTTGTGTGCGTGAGTCTGTATCACTCAGCATGCTTATCCCCACATAGTACTGGTTCAGACACTGTGTAGATACATGGCTAGAAAATCCCCATTCTATGAATTGTGTTTGTTCGGTTGAATCATCATGACTGACTAACTGCAATTTCACCAGTATTTCTTCTAGAAGCAAGTGCCAGCTTAAGCAGTCTTCATTCCCCCTCTCTATCCATGGCTGCTCATTCCTGCTTCTGTGTCACCTCTCACATGTTGGGGCCACATGAACCAGGGAACCTGTAACTTGGTTTTCCACCTGGGTTACTCTAAACAAGAACAATTTATTTATACAGTTCATTTATCTGGCTGCCTAAGCAGTAGTACTCATGAAGGGATGACACAGGAGCAGAAGTAAATGGGAAGGGGACAAAGAGGAAGGAGCTACTGAGGCTGGCAGTGCTAGTTATGGAAGTATGGCCTGAGGGGATACAAACTGCAGTGTCTCCAGTTCTGCCATGGCATGGAGAGTAAACAAACCTGACAAACTTAAGATCCATCATTCACATTTCAAGGGATCAGGCATAGGGTTTGCATTCCAAACCCCCACCTTATTGATTAGCATTGTGCTGAGGACCTCATGTGGGCTGGATTAGGCTGTGGCATACCAGCAGCATGCTTCTGTGGCTCAACCAAACATGTGACAAGTGACAAATGAATGGCTACAAGGCTTCTCTACATAAAACAAAACTGAGCAAAATCAGGATGTTTATTCCTTTAGGTGGCTCATCACAAGAGAAACAAGCAGTTAGAGGGTAAAGAGAGGACAATGATTTACACCAATTTAAAGTGCTTGCTGAAATACAGGCATTATAAATACAGCCCTGGCTGCAACTATGACTCTTCCAAAGTGAACTGAACTGAGCTGCACCAAGACACTCTAGTAAAAAGTGCATGCATGGAGAAGCATGGCAGACCAGCAAGTACAGAGGAACTGTTTTGCTTAGTGTAATAGCATGGACCAGAGAGTTAACAGATAGATTTAGGGTAGATACACACCAGATAAAACCATCCCCAGAGTATAATTAATTTCAATTAAATAAATATAAGTCATAGTCTGTTTTGGCAAGGATTCTCACTAAAGGTCTCTTGGGGGAAAAGAGAAAAGGAAAAAAAAATCACCTGCCCCATTATCTTGGAAATTAAAAAACAGATTCAAATTCACGGGTTGGAATAGCATCTTTTGTAAAGAAAAGACTTGGAAAATATAAATACATATTCATATAGCACTCAGTGATTGGTGCTCTGAAAGGTTTCATACCTCAACTCAGCAAAATTTAAGCGTTTGTTGAAAACTTTACACATAAAGTACAAGATGCACGAATAACTGTTTTCTTAAATTCTTCACTAAAAGAGAGAGGCAGAGTGCTGAGCTGATGCTGGAGAGTATGATTTTACTATGTCGTAAACTTCCCCAGCTCCCTCTGATGCCTTTAGGACTGATGCCTGATGGCTCACAAGAAACCGTGAAGAACAAGGGCCCGGATGTATGCAGAGATGGAACTTCAGAACACACACCTGGATTTTCAGTGCAGAATATTTTAGAGGTTTTGCTGTGGCTTCTCAGAAAGATACCAGGATGGCAAAAGAGAGCAAATTCTGGAGTCAGGATCAAATTCTAACTCTCTCTTTCCTGTGCATGCTCAAGAGTTTGCTTTGCGCGGAACTGCCCTACTTGCATGATGCACACACCAGTCAAGAATGCAGCCTTATCCAGACCTGTCAAATTACCCCCAGTGCAAGCCACCTTCCAATATCCTCACATGGCTGAGCCCCACAGACCACCATGCTAATCTGTGCCAGCTGTGAGATAAAGTCCCTGCTTGTGGCTGTCTTCTCCAGGTAGCTGTAATTGTCCTCACAGCTGTTTCCCAACTGTGAGTGAGAAAAGCAATCAGCTACCAGATGCATAACAACTGCCACAACCAGACTTTGTATTTCTTCCTTCTTTAATGATGCCTGTTTTCTTGCAATCTTATCACAAGTTTCTGTGAGGCCAATATCATATATCTCAGCTTTCATTTTAAGGAAAAGGAACTGTCTATCATATGCAAAGTGTAACTAATGTGAGACAAATCTAATGTTGGAGAAGAGAAACTAAATAAAAAACCCTGATGTTTTTCATGTTACAATTTCACTGTTTTTTAAGGAAATCTGATAATATTGTGGGTTGTCTGAAAGATAAGCTTTGAACGCTTGGAGTGAGCAGAACTGATTTATAATACCATATCACATGCTGTGAACTCTTCTGAAATATGCGGCTTTACCACTTTAGCGCAACTCATCCGTATCAATAGGCACAACACACTTTGCATGCGGTAAATAATAATAACACTAAACATCCACAACTGCAGCTGTCACAGAAATCCAGATATGCTTGATCTCACACATTCCAGCAACTAAAATAAGGTTGAAGGAGGCTTTATTGGCTCAAACTTTGCTCCGTGAGGACCTACTTCTGAAGCCCACAGTTCACAGTAAAGGCCAAAGACACTACAGAAGCTCTGGACACTTCAGGATGAGACACTGGACTGCCTTGTACCACCTGCTGTAGACCTGCATGCCACCTCTTTTTTCACCTCAGAATGGCAGGGGTTTCCATCAGCTCATAGCCTGTGCTGCTGCTGAGCATATTGGCTGCTGCCAGTGCAAGCAGGCAGAATAAGTCCCAGGTGCAGCTCTGGTGCAGGAGGACACCTTCAGCAGTGACCCATGGGTTGGCAAACACATTCAGGAGTAACCTGGCAGTGAAGATGTGTACACCTTCACTGATGTTTACAGCAGCAATGACATTCCATCTCAGCAGGGCCTTTTCTGCTACAAAATCAAGTGCTAAAATGTCCATGTCCTTTTTGTGCAGGGCAGTGTGAATCCATGCTGGATTTACAGAAAAGAAGAGTCTCTCTCCATTGAAACTGATTTCTCCAGCTCTACACAAAAGCAGAGTAATGGCAAATAAAGGTTATTGCTCTTCTCACTCTTTCTCCTTTTGTATAGGTATTGGGGGTCCTGACTGAGGACTCCTGGCAAGGACTTTCCAAGGTTCCCAACTATAAGCCAGGTAGTATTTAACTCACAAGAATGCCAACTTTATCTCTAAGCCACTCACTAGCCACTCATTTTTTGGGTCAGTAATTCTCATTAGGAAAAATCCTGTGCTTCAGTGTTACTAAATCCCGTGAGCTGATTTATGATAGTGGTGTCATAGGACCCACAACAATATTTGGGCTGGCCTAGTATACAAGCAGAGGTACAAGTGTGGCAAAGTTGCCTCACTGAACGCTGGGTGTATCTTAGGCTGATGGAAGATTTCATTGCTGCAAGTGCTGACAATGTTGATATTCTCTACTCCTCAGTGCAAAGGACCAGTGTCTCCTGGTACAGATTGAGAAAACTAACAGGTACCTGGAGACACAGTTTATCTGAACTCTCCTTATTTTTATGTAGATTGGTTTGGGGGCCTTTAAACCACACTTTTAAAGGTCACTGTCCCTGATTTTGATGTGGGCAAGGTAAGAAATTTGTGTGATTTATAAAGCTATCTTCTTTTATTTCCACATGGGCTGGTAGAGAAGTCTGTGTCCTGGACTTCAAAGGGCCAGTTGTCTCTTATTTTGATGTGGGCAGGTTGAGAAGTATGCTTTGAAAAGCCAGCTCTCTCTCTCCTTTTCTCTCCCCTCTCCCTCTCTCTCTCCCTTTCTCTCTTTTTGTTTAATATTTTCTCTTGGGAAAATATATTCAAGTGTCAGTGAGGGGGAAATGATGAGCACTGAGTCACTCAGCAGGATCATTCTGCAAGAGAAATATAAAAGTGAAATATTAAAAACCCTAGAATGTAAAATCCACCCATCTACAATCTAGCCATTCTCTCTCACTCCTACCCTAAGAGAGTGGGGGGGGGAGCCTGTCTATCTGGATGGGAGGGGGGGGAAGAGGAGGGGGAGAGGAGGAGGGAGAAGACGTGCTTTGAGCAAGAGGTTTACAGGTTTAGTAGAGCATAGTAACATCTTTTCAAAGAAGTGGGTGTTGCTCTGTGACCCAGTCGAAGATGCCCCTCCTTTGATTCTGGTGCATGAACACTAAACAGCCCCCATTTTCACATGGTAGCCATGATTGGCTGAACAATAACCTGGTCTCACAGTCGAAAGGAGTGGAATCCTTCACACAATTAGCTGAGACACATTAATCAAACCAGCGTGAAATGGGAATGTGTCGCTGTCCGCAGCAAGTTTAATTTGGATAGGGAGCAAGCAGAGAGCAGACAGCTGGAGGAAGCACTTTCTCCTCTAAGTTGTTGAAGGCTTGGCTGAGTATAGTCTACAACTTGGGAAGGGCAGTCTGGAAGGGAGGAATTGCTCATGTGTGGGACAAAATGATCACAAAGAATTTTTTCTATGCCAGTCATCTGCTCATACTAGGCTAAAAACTCAGTGATGATGATTAGGTATCCCAGTGCTATATACAGGGACAGCCTAAAAGTGAAAGAATTAAGGCTACATAAGCAAATAAACTAATACAGAGAACGTGTAAGTGCCCAGAACTGCCCTGAATGGTGATTCTTGCTTAGCTCTATTTTGTCTGAACAGCAGTGCTGGCTGCTGCTGTGGAGGGTGCCCATGGAAGGACTGGGAGGGAGAGGACAGGCACCTGGGCAGCATGGAAACAGCTCCAGTAAAGACAAGTCTAGTCATCTTAAGCATTTTTCAAATCTGAGTTAGAATCATAGAATAGTTAGGGTCGGAAAGGACCTTAAGAGCATCAAGTTCCAACCCCCCCTGCCATGGGCAGGGACACCTCACACCAAACTATGTCACCCAAGGCTCTGTCCAACCTGGTCTTGAGCACTTGAACACTGCCAGGGATGGAGCATTCACAACCTCCCTGGGCAACTCATTCCAATGCCTCACCACCCTCACAGTAAAGAACTTCTTCCTTATATCCAATCTAAACTTTCCCCTGTTTAAGTTTGAACCCATTACCCCTTGTCCTATCAGTACAGCCCCTAATGAAGAGTCCCTCCCCAGCATCCCTATAGGCCCCCTTCAGATACTGGAAGGCTGCTATGAGGTCTCCACGCAGCCTTCTCTTCTCCAGGCTGAACAGCCCCAACTTCCTCAGCCTGTTTTCATACGGGAGGTGCTCCAGTCCCCTGATCATCCTTGTGGCCCTTCTCTGGACTTGTTCCAACAGTTCCATGTCCTTTTTATGTTGAGGACACCAGAACTGCACACAATACTCCAGGTGAGGTCTCACGAGAGCAGAGTAAAGGGGCAGGATCACCTCCTTCGACCTGCTGGCCATGTTCCTTTTGATGCAGCCCAGGACACGGTTGGCTTTCTGGGCTGCAAGCATACACTGCCAGCTCATGTTCATTTTCTCATCGACCTTCACCCCCAAGTCCTTCTCCGCAGGGCTGCTCTGAATCTCTTCTCCACCCAACCTGTAGCTGTGCCTGAGACTGCTCCAACCCAGGTGTAGGACCTTGCACTTGGCATGGCTTTCAGGCTTGATAGAAAATTTCCCTAATGGACTCCAGTAGGGCAGAACTGACCTGTGCTGTTCTGTAAACCTGTGATGCTGGTGCCTTTCTGTGGCTGGATCAGACAGAAATGCAGGAGTCAGAGGACGCCTTCCTGTAGGAACATCCCACCATGCTAGCAAACACATGGGAGTGGGATGCTGGGCCAGTGTTTTGGGCAGTAGGTGTTCCAGCTGGAGAAGCAACATCCCTTTCCCCTCCTCAGAGCCTGCCTAAGGGGCTCCAAGCTGCTCCAGCCACATACTGGAACCAAGCATTTGGCTCACACCTGGATTATACAAACCAGTCTGGACAGAAGAAGGTTAGTCATAGAAAGTTGGTCTAGTTGTGAACAAAATCAAGTCGGTTTTTGATGGGGCTGTTGGTAAGAAGGCAAATGAGTCTCTTTGTTTAAAGCTATTTGGCATTCACATGCTCCTGTGCACTTCCCCTCTCCTCCCTGAAGCACAAGTACTGTTTCCCGCTCCAGGACACGCTCAGCCCCTGTGGAAGCTGTGGAGTCTGCCTGAGAAAACCTCTCTCTCGATTGTTTCCAGCCCAGCTGTGGGAATCAGTGTGCCTGGGATGGTTCAGATAAGCAAACAAACTTCGGAGCCTTCCCCAGTCTGATGGCTTGAATGCTTTCAGCTAGTCCTATTGATGTTCGCAGTGAGTGCAGGCAGCAAACAAACAAACAGGTTCCCGCCCGCGGCAAGGAACGAACATGGGCAAAACAAAGCACCGAGGTGTGATCCCATTCTCATTGAAGTTGATGGCAAAACTCCCACTGGATTCAGCACTGTAGGCTCAGCCCCAGACTGAGGTTGTTACTGGAAGGGTTCCTGGACCAAGTGGGTTAGTAGGAATCTTTGAAATGAAAGCTGGAAACCTTTAGATGTTTTCCTGTCACTCCTGTGGACTTGAGCACATCCTGCTGCAGAGTCTGAAGAGGAGATACAGCATGGGCTGTGGGCTCTGTGAGCCAGGCACACTCCAGGCAACTGGAGGAGGAGCAGTTCCCCTGCCACTTCTGTGGGCAACTGGCAAGGGGTGAAATGTGAAAGGGAGTATTTGACCTTCTTGCACAAGGGAGTTTAGAAATGGGGCTCATGCCCATTGCCTACAGTTTGCCAAAGTCTCAACCTATGCCTGTCCCCACATGAACAGGAAGGATGGGTGAGCAACTCTTCCATGGCCAGCCCAACCGTTTGTGATCTTGCTTCCTCCCTGCAGGAGAGACTCTTGGGGTAGCGAATTACATGCAGCCATGGGGCCTGAAAGCATGGATTTACCTCAGCCCTGTCTTGAGAACCAGTTCCTGCAGAACATGAAGGGTTGGGAGAGCATACTTGCTGGCCCTCGTCCTGGCTCCCCAGGCTCAGGAGCCCTGCCCGTAGTGACAAGGCTTTGCCCTGTGTTTGTTCATTTGTTCTGTTCCCCTCATTTTGCTTCCCCTGAAAGAGGCAGTTGTAGCTCTGTTAACACTATTTTTGAAAGCTCTCATGCTGTGTGCGCTCAAATCCTTGCATTAATCTACTGCTGTGTTCATTTCACTGCACTGAAAAGCAGTGAGTTTAAATCCCCTCTAAACACCATTGGTGACACCAGAAGGCCAGTGTTTTGATCCAGCCCCATTAATGGTTACAAGTTTGAATCTAGACAGCAGGGGTCAAGGGCAGGAAAGGATTAGGAATCACAGCCCATGACATTAAGCTAGTGCTTTTGCCAAACCAGGAATACTGGAGCACCCAATGTAACAAGAGTTTTTGTTTCCTTTTTCTGACATTTGGATTCCACAGAGTGGGGAACACTGTGTATTTCTTTATAACATGGTGAACCCACTATAAGTGAGCTTTACTCCTTGATTTATCATACGGGCTGACTAATAAGTTTACTATGCCACGTAGTATCATATCACTTAGCAGCCACAGGTTTTACACTGGCCTTTTTCAAATGCAGCGATGACTTAAATCAAGCCTGGTTTTTTTTTCACGTATCTACAGACTTTGCTATGCTGAATGAGATTTAGAAGCTTTCCAGAGTCAACATGCGCTCCCGAGTAGCATCTGTTGCGTTTCCAAAATGTCACCAGCAGATGGAGGCAACGAGAAGCCGGCTCTGGAAGGCAAACTTCAAATGGCATTTTTGAGAATGCAGATGAGGTCTGCACTCGGAGTGCTTTTTTTTTTTTATCTCACTTTTTATGCTGATGCTTCATTTAACAAATGGGATGGTTTGAAACTGAATTCTAAAACGATGAAATTTTTATTGTCACAATAAACTGCATGCGGCTTTGATCTTAAAGGGAAGAACAGTACTGTAACCAAGGTGCAATATCTGTGCTGGCTAGACAGTAGGGAAACTTCCTATCTGTCTGGCAGTGGGCACAGGCTGCAGTTTCCAGCCTGCCACACAGACAGAGCTCTGCTTCTGTCCTTCAGCCACAGAGATTTCACTAATGAGAAAAATTTTCTCTGTGAGCCTGCAACCCCAGCGCCTTCATCCAGCAGCACTTGGCATCCTCTTTCTCTCTCTTCATCAATTAGGAAAGTTTAACTTTTGGCCTCTGGCTTGCTTGCCTCATTATCAGTTCATTAGCCACTTTCACCTGGGTTTTCATATAGGAAGGTATTTCCTTATTAGCACACACTGCCTTGCATAGAGATAGTAACAAACCCAAGTGCTACCTTTCGGATCTACTCTTACTGTTAAAAAAGCCAATCAGCCCTACACAATCCCATCATTTTATGTCTATATCATCACTGTGAGATAAATAATTCGGTAGTTCATCCACTTTTTGGAATTATATCTAAATATTCTTCATCTCTTTAAGGAGTAGCTGTTTACATTGGTTTAAAATTTTAGATTGGTCTTAATCTTACAGTAGGGAAATATTTACTGCTCTGTTCTTACCCTGTTCAACACAAAGGGGCCTCAGCATTCTCTAAGGGCTTGTCTATATGGGGTCAGTCAGGAGATTAATCTGAACTGATTTAAAGTGGATTAGTTAACTACATTAAATCCTTGAGCAGAGACATACTGTTTTCTTACCCATGTCTTCCATTTATAATCAAAGCTCTGTCTACTCAAAGTGGCAAGTTTGGCAGTCCTCACTCAAGCAGAATTCTCCACTGAGAGATGTGTTTGGACAGGGATAGCAGTAGTTGGCTCACTGGCTTTTATGCTACCCCTTGTAGATAATTATTAATCTCCTTGTTATATAAATGATAAATTTAAGTCAAGAGGCTTGCTTGAGACAGCAAAGACTCTAATTCAGGTATTCCTCCCAGTTCCCAGTAAGCAAACTGATGTTGCTATTTGTAACATAAAGAAAATCCTATTTCCTCTTTGGAATGTTAATCTGGAAAATGCACTCCACAAAACCAGTGACATTTCACTTAGATATCACTGAAACATTTTGCCCTGCTGTTCTCAACTGAATGTGCACTTTTTAACTTTTATGTTAAACTCATTAAAGAACATTGATGTTAAAAGATTTCAGTAGAGTTAAGGTACAACCTTGACATTTTTATTAAATATTAAAGGAAATTGATATATTGTCATGGAAGGTTTCCATCTCACAAATCAGAATTTTCTGGCAGAAAGTTACAACATCTGAAAGTTTCTGGCCAGCTCTGCGAAGGGGTAAAAATTTCTGCCTCATACAAAAAACATCTTATGCTTTTCAAACCATTTTTTTTAAATTGTTTTTCTTCTGTTCTGCCTGGAAGCTTTACATCTCTACTCAGTAGGGACGATTTATTTCTACACTTTTATTACAGTCAAGGGGGCAAAATGAAGGAAAGAGGATCCAGAGAAAATGTTATTAGTGATCCAAGATGAATGTTCTGCCAGAGTTAATCTTCGTGACTGATTTGGGAAGGGGCTATTCAAGATACTAATATATAACTTCTAGATATTGCAATAATTTCAGTGCTCTGGCACCTAAACTGTCAGGAATCCCATCCCGGGTTATATTGCCATTTACTGCTTTAGCAATTACTTTAGTATTTGGGTGTAGGAGAACACTTCAATTGTGAACTGTTACTTACCCTGTGATAGACAGGTTTAACAACCTGCTTGCCTGGCTTAATGGTGAAAGATTGCTGCTGGAAAGGTTAAGTGCTGGAAGTTCAGTCATTTGCACTTTAACAAACTGTGCATCAAGTCAGACACTGAGTGACTGAGCCCCTGGGCCTGGCACTCTGGAAATGGCCATGCAGGTGAAGACAGAGGGTACCCCTGCTTTGCCCACAGCCAGCAACTTCTGTCCCTGATTGATGTGTCGGATGCTTCTGGGCAGGAAGGGAGGGCAGATGCTCTCCAATGGTGTAGCATAAGCCCCAGCCAAGCACCAAATCTACTGGCAGCAGACCAGTGGCGCTTGCCTTCTGGTGGTCTTGCTGCCATGGAGAATGCTTGTCTGGGCTGGGCTGGAAGAGAGGTTGACACCACCCTTCCTGCTCAAGCACTGTCAGAAATGGTACTCAGGAAAACATTGCTGGTAGAAGTTACAGCCTTTCTGATGCAAGAAAATGTCTTTGTTCATCTCTAAGGGGAAATCTTCCAGGCTTAAGCCATTCATTCGTATCTAAGCCTGAGAAAACTCGTGCTTTATAAGAAAATACTTGGAGAATGTATTTGTCTACATTTTCCACAATGTTTAGAAATGTGTCCTTGAAAAATGGCAACAACAACACAGCCTTCCCAAAACCACAAACCCTGCAAAGTTCCAATCTGGTAGAGATGTTTGAATCGGTAAGTACAAAGCCTGCATGGAGAAGGTTAATTTGATAATAAACAACAAACTTAGTGAGGGATTGACAGCAAGAGCAGTGGACAAGAGAGCGGGACCCAAGTGTCTTTGCTCTGGCCCCACTTTTTTTGCCAGATCCATGCAGAAAAGCCCTGTGTGCACAGGGCAATACATGAAGCTCAGCAGCTGATTTGTAAGCCAAGACAATTGCTGGGGATTCAGGCCTGCAAACCTCTTTCTGCTTCCTTCGTGTAAAGGCTTTAGGGGCTGATACTGCTTTTATTGAAGCCAAATCTAAAACTCACACAGCAACAGAAGGGGGCCCAAGGCCTATATTCACAGATGTATGAAAAGAAAGGGTTACAGAACTGGAACAGCCTTATTAACATCAATGCTGGTACTCAAGTCCTATAGGAATAATGTATATTTATAAATACTAAGATGACAGATTCTATAGGTCCCTTTGAAATTCTGAGCATATGTTCTTCGAAAGGGCTCAAAGAATGGTTTGTGGCTTGATTTTCATTTAATCCTGTGATTGCATATTACACTTTCTAGAAGTGGCTGCTTCCAGGACACCTCAGAGGCTCCAAGTCATCTGTGACAGGTAAGCTACCTATAATGGCAATGTCAAAATCACCTCTGGGTTTATTTGTTTCTTTATGCAATCATTTAACTTGAAACGAGCTCTTTTGGCAAGCTCAGGAAGAGCTGGGTGGCTCTGTAGTAACAAGCAGATCTAACGTCAGTTAAGCAACTGATTTTGAGAGATTGTGGTGCAGGTGGGCACATAGTGGGTTTATTATGCTCTGAGGAGTAGTGATTATTCTCAGATAAACAGTGATTTAATGACATTATGAGCAACTTTTTTCAGGGCACAGTTCAGTCCAGAGGGTCATACTTTCACAGGCCTTCTTGACCAGACTGAAGACAGACTTTGCTCTGTCCCAGTTTTAATTTCTGGAAACAGATTGTAGGGACGTTGCTCAACAGTGGTAAGGAAGATGTGCTAGGATGGCATTTTCACAAGACAATGAAATAATCTTATGATTAGTTAGGAGGGGAAAAAATCACTCCTCAGAGTACAAAAGCTATGAGGCTGCGGCCATGGTTACATACCTTGGCTTGACCAGGCACACCAACACCACCCAATCATTCCCTAGTGTGCTAAAAGAGGGAATATTTTTCAAGCTTATATATGTGCACATACGTGCACGAATACAAAATGCACACACACACATATACATAATGTATTTATGTACCAGTGAAACAAATATCTGATCAGGCAAAGCGAACTATCCTAGCTCAGAGAGTCAATAAAATCAAATCCCCTCCCAATGCTAATTTAGAGGCATACAACAGCCTTTATAGATGCATAGAAAAAGACTAGATAGAGCTGTGTTCTCAGGATTGTGTTCATGCACAGGTCAAGGATCAAAAATTCTTTGAGGATGTAACCACATTTTTTGTCACTGCTGTTTATTATCTGTTCAGCTCATTGAGTAGGATCCAGCCCTACTCAGAGGGAAGTGTGCTGGCCTGCAGAGCTGGGTTTCCCAGGCACTGTTCTGAATGGCTGAAGAAACATGCTGCCGTTTTCAGCAACGCACAGGCTGCTGAAATGCCTGCCATTGTCACACACATCTTCAGAAACACACCTTGATAACACAGGTCCTGGAACAGAATGAATCCTCTCTCAGCCTGAACAAAGAAATACTATATTCCTTGCAAGTCTGCTGTGTTACACTTCTGGGTTTTGGCCATAATCCCCTGACAGGCCCCATTAACAGCCCCATACCCACAGGCTCTCCTCTGCAGCAGAGCCCTGGGCTGCATGTGGGCCAGCTCCAACTCTGCATTACAGGTTCCTTACACCACTGTGATCGAACGGCTGCCTTGGCATGCTCAGCTCTTGGGAAGGAAAGAACTGCTTCATACAGACCAATCAGCCATGACTCTCCATGGCCAATTAAGAAATCAAAAGGGAGCTCTGCGCAGAGCTCAGCCACCACCAAGAAGCCTTGAGCCATGATGGGAAGCACTGAACCATGTTGCTGCCCAATGTGGGAGCCTCAAGCAACAGGACAGAAGGGGCAGAGGGTCTCCAGTAACAGCCTACAGTGATGTACATCCAGTGACGTGCAGCTCTAGCAAGCAGCCTCTGGCTGGATGCTTTGGCTCCCTGTCCAGTCCCTGCTCCGCAAGGCAGCAGGGGCTTGAACTGTTTTGCTGGAGGCGAGAATTCAGCAGTTACATACAACAGTGAGGCCAGGTAGCTTTTATAAATCTGTTTCTCAGGATTTCTCTATGCTTTTCCCCTTCCTTTTGTTTTACATTTTATCTCCTCAAAACAGAAATGTCAGCATGTCAAATGTCCTGTATAGCGAGGGGGAGTGCAGGGGCAGGGGGATCCCGGTGCCTGATGTCGCTTGGAGGGGAAGCACCAGTGGGGGCCAAGGGAGGAAGCACAACAGGCCACGCTCTGATGGGCCTCCTGATGCTGAAACATGATCAGAAAAAAACAAACAAACAAAGTAGGAGCTGTAAAACTAAATTACTATTTTTATTTGTTTCCTTGTTGGTTTGTTTTCTCTCTTCCACTTCCTTGTCCCCAGCTGTGTGCTCCTCTAGAAAGCAGCCACTTGGCACTGGTATTGCTGGGCATGGAGCGTGTGTGTATTACATCTATTTTAGGCACTCATCCTGAGAAACAGATTCATCTCCATGAATCCCAACGTATTCTAAAGCCAGCTGCATGGCTGGTACTAGGGAAGAAAGAGGGGAAATGGCATTTTCTTTATTTTTTTCTTAGTTTTGACCTCTGGTCTGCTCACTGGGCCAGTCAGGTTGTTTTGTGCACTTGCACTGTTGCTCTAAACTGGTAACACCAACCTCGGATATTCTGGTTATGACACATAAAATATAATTTGCTCAGCAGCATTTTCCCTTTTTCTTACAACTTTCTTTTCACAAAATAACCATTTATTTTCAAAACTCCTCTGAAAGCATGAGTATGTGCTGAAATCCTATATCCATGTACTCCAATATAACCAAACTCACACAGAAAAGCAAATGTCCTGGAAAACTATATAGCTGGGGTCAGTTTAGCCTGCTCCCCTATGTCACTCCCCTATCTGTCTCAGGATCTGAGAAGGGCTGGGTCAAATTCTGGTTACAGCTTTCTGGCTTATGCTCACCTCCTATCCTAATTTTTTTGTCCTGTTTTCCTAGGCTGAGCAAAGTGCCAGCAGTGGAGGATTTGGCCTCCAGGATGCTTAAAGCCTTCCCCCAAGGCCGGATCTCTGCACAAGATGCACTTGTTCATGGTTTCTTCAGCTCTCTGCCTCCTCAGCAATATGAGGTTCCTGCTGGTAAGTTAACTCAGTTCCATCTCACTAAGAGCTACTTCACATGCTATTTATTGTGAGTTTCTGGTTATTTTGAAAGTCTGTGCCATTCACCTGGGCATCTGCCTGCCCTCCCTCCCCACTCCTGTATGCTGCAAAGTTTACATTCCGTTGCAAATTTATCAGCTTCTTTTTCTGTTTTCTTCCACTTAACCACTGTGTTAATACTAGAAAGGGACATGGATGGGCTGCCTCCATGGTACATTTAGAAAGTGGAGGTGTATGTGATTTCACAGCTCATTTCTCCCCCATTCTGTAACCCTAGGGGCTCAGAGCTTTCCCTTGGGCTCGTTCACACTGTGTATTCAGTGTAACACACATGCTGGTCCCTCCTGATGTCCTGAATTCCCAGCTGCTCAGCATGATGTGCTAGCCCCAATTCCCTTGGACTGCTCCTCCTGCTCCCTTTTGATGTTCAGAGACAACAGCTGTTCCTCATACCCTGTTGCATCAGTCCTCCGTCAGTTTTACCTGCTTTATTTTCTTCTTCCCTTGCTGTCTTGTAAGCACACAGCTGCATACACACAGGTCTGCCTCTTCTGCCCTGAGCTGATAATAAATACAGGGTCTCTCAAGCTACAGGTTCTGGTCCTCACTAGGCAAAACTCCCTCTTATTGGGCAACAGTCCAGAGAGCATAGCATTCCCTGTTGCCTCCTGGGAACCCACTACACTAGTTAGTTTGGTGTGTTTTTTTTAAGACAGGAGCAATTAAGAAGCCTTCTTGGGGTGTGTTGTCAAGCTATTTGAAAACCTAATTTCTGGCTCCTGTGACACATCCCAAGTGAAGGAGCAGCAAGCTAGCATCTCTCCCAAACCGCTGCCCTTCAGAAGGTGCTCTGTGTGTGTATGTGCATGAGTGAGAGACATCTGCATTCCTTTTCTGTTCACCCAGCCACAGAGCACAAATCTACTTTGACACTTTTAGAAAAATGAAAAGATGGAATCTCGCAGGAGCCTGCCTGTGCCGCGGGGGGAGGAGGGGAGCACGCACAGCAGGAGGGAAGTTGACTTTTCTTTATACATATAGGGTTTTTTCCATGCAGAGTTTAAATTATGCCTGATAAAAGGAGTTTCGTGGATGTTTCAGTTCTTTCAAACCCTCCTGGCTTCCTCCCAATTAAATGAGGTTTGTCAAAGCCACAGGGCTCTGCTGCTGCCGGAGAGGCGGACAAGCACTTCCCGCAGTGACATCTCCAATCCCCAAGGGAGAAGATGAAAGCGTCAGTGCCAACAGAGAGAGAGAGTGTGTGGAAAAAAACAGGTACAGAGACAGACAGTGTGAGAGAAAGGGAGAGAGTGAGGAGAAATAGAAGGAATGAGAAAACAGATTGGCATAATATGTCAATCTCTCCAACATGCTAGCAGAGAGGGGACAGATTTATTTCACCTGGGTTTATGCACCATCCCATATTTATTATCCCTCACATTGCGGCAAGAAGTACCTTGTGGACAGGAAACTGCATGGTGTTATCATAGCAACCAATGTGCTGGGAGCAGAATCAAAGTGCACAGGGTTGAAAAAAAGTACGGTATGATCATGCAAGACCATATTCATGAGTGACTCATTAAGCCTGTAAAAATTAGGCAATTCTGAATAATTCCCCATGTAGCCATCCCTATTGCCATAATCGTGTAAGACATGGGTTCTCTTCTGCCACTTTGGCATCAGGCTATTTTGGAATTACACTGTATCACTTTAAAATTCTCATTTCTATGATAACACAGTGCAGATTTCATATATATTCTGTCCCCACTTTGTTCTGGAGGATGCTGGCTATTAGTCCCCATCCTCTGAAGGAGAAAGTTAATGCAGAAGGGCTAAGAATGAGCTGGAGATGAAAGGTAAAAGGAAGAGGGGGTTGATCCAAAGGTGTGTGAGAGAGTAAGAAGGAAACAATATTGGGAAAAATAAAAGGCTCCAGTAAGAAATTATTTTCTATTTTTATGAAACAATTTTGTCCATTACTGTTCTTTTTATAAGTTGCTAAGACAAGCTGGATGCTAGGGGATGTTTTTCAAAGGTCTATTCCTAGGAAAAAAAGTAATTGGAGAAAACAGTGTTCAAATAAGTACCCCTCCAAATGTCATGTTTCTGAATACAGAGGGGAATGCTAACGGTAGAAGCTGGGTGCTGCCCCTGGGAAGGACGAGAGGGAGCACGAGGCTCTTTGCTTCCCGGTAGTCAGCTCCTGCTGAGGGGAACAGGTTGCTGATGCTTTTGCTTAAGCTCATATGCTTATATGTTGCTTACCACCCATGCTGTAAGAGAGGAAGGCTCTCTGTGCCCTAAGTGGGGCTGGTCTGCAGAGGGGCCTCTCTTACAGCTGCTCTCTCCTGTGCCTCTAGGGCCAGAAAAGGCTAGTAAGGCCCAGGTTAAGACTCTAGTCACCATTTTGGTGGCCTTAATTGTGCACATGCCACCAGTACCTCTGGATATAGCAACAGAGGACAGGAGCAGGGGAATCTCTATCTTCTTTACACTGTGACTACCAGCCTGAGGGGTGGCAGTGATGACCTTTTGTAAAACTGGAGCATTTGCTGTCAGCCAATCCTGAGACAATTATCTTTGTGTAGTGCAGCCCTGCACTACAACAGCTCTGATAAAACTTCAGTCTAGCCCTTTGCCACCTGCTAAAGCAGAATATTTTCTGTCCAATTAATCACTCCTGGAAGAAAGGTGAGATCCTTGAATCAAGAAAGCATGAGCCATGCTCTCAACTCAGTGTCAGTCCTGAAGTGCAAAGGGCATTCTGAGAAGGTATCTCACTGCTGTCAGACAAGTCAGACACAGTGACAATTGCAGCTTATTATTGTTACTTATAGATTTGGTTTATTTTCCTTCTCTTTTGCCCACAAATGCTTCAGAGTAGACTTGCAAGTAGGGAGGGTGAGCAGTGGGATTTAGGGTTAGCACCAGTGAGCTTCCAAGAAAACACTGCAAGAGCTCTGACCGAACAAATCAGGCACGTTGGCCAGGGAGGCCTGAGCTGGCTTCTCAGATCGTATCCCCACTGGACCGATGTCCAGGCTCAGGACTGACCTTTCTCACAGTTCAGGAGACATTTGACTCTAGGCATACTATTGGCTTAGCAGCTAGTCATCATGTCAAGGCAACTTGTGCTCTGTGAGGAGGATAGTGTGCAGCACGGGTGTGATCCTGGCTTTGACTAGGAGGGACTTGCTGCTTTTCTGGGTATGGTCTCTGATTGTTACCTGATCCCAGCAGTTCAAAACCAGAGTACCAGGTGGTGATAGCACTGTAGCCTTCCTCCTGAAACAGCCCGCTATTCAGCTTTTCGGAAGCAGGAGGAGGGAGGTTTGGTGCTCACAGAGCATTGTCATTTTCATGCCTGTTGCATCTAAACTAATACAAAGCAATCATAGGCAATGAGGAGGTTAAGGCTGTAAGCCATTGCTTTCTAAAAATCCTACTACTGCTGGAATTAGCCAGCGCTGGTAGGTGTTACCACAGGGCACATCTAAAGAAAAGCTGACTTTCATGGACACCTTGTTTGGGTTGGCTGGTTTGCCTAGGTTTTCCTACCTAGCTAAAAAGTTTATATAGTCACTTAAATATTTTTTCCTCTATGCTTTGCCACCTCTGTATACAGCAAATGGATATCCTTCACTGTAAATCAGATACGGACACCTAGAAAGAGAAGTTCCCACAAGATGCATGAATCTGTGTCTTAATAAGGGAATAAACCACAGTTGGTGTTGAGCAGCAAATCAGCTGTCACTCCGGACCCAGAAGCAGTCTTTTCTGTCAAGTGATAAAGCAAATCTTCACTTAACTCAGGAAAAATTCCCTTCACTTCACCTGGCCTGATCTCCACAGTGGTAGAAGGTCTGCTTAAAAGTATTGACAGGGCACTGAGGTTTTGTATTCTGTCATTAAGCCACCACCCTGGGAAAGATGCATCACAACTTCACAGCAGATGTGTGCCAGGGGCACAGGCCTCTGGAGATGTTGCCCTGTTCAAGCTCATCCCTGGGCACTGGCCTGGAGCAAACCATGCTGGGCCCTGCATAGAAGCACAGGGTGGAAGGGAAGATGGGAAAAGAAGGAAGGTTTCCTTTGCTCACTACCCAGCTCATGCTCTTGCAAAAGCACAACTGGCGCAAAGTTCGGCCCACATGACTTGTGGAAACAAAGTCCTACAGACATGGATCAAATACTCTGACTCTCATTGATCTCAGGCCAGAGAATCTCTATAAAGGTCTTATTGTTCAGGGAGATGAACTGCTCTTGGGAAGGAGTGCTGTTAATACCCTCATGGAGGCAGACGCTATTGCATCAGAGGTTAGCAGATGTTTTTCTGTATTTTGTCTAATTGCAAGTTATATCTGAGGTTTCTATAACTTCCATTTTCCCTTTGACGCTCTTAAATGCTAATCTGAGAAGATTTAGTTGTCTTGTGTGCTGTGAAAGACATCCAGACTGGAACTTTCATGTAGCTGTTTCCCATCCTCAGGTGCACTTCTGCCTTCACCCAGTTATCAGCAGAAAAAAGCAAATGGGGATGTAGTGATCAGATTTCTAAGGCACAAAAGTTAAAGCTAAGTTTGAGATTGTGACAGCAAGCAACCATGAGCCTAGGAACTCAATTAGCCTGAAAGACAACTATCTCATTATCTTTCCTAAAATGATATAAATACATAAGAATATAAAAATTTAAAATAAACTCTCTATTGACTGTCTAGATGACTGAATTTCACTGCTCAATTTCTTTAAACACCCACTTTAGTATTTATTTATTCTAAGAGTGAAGCAGCTACGATAATTAGACTGTCAGATTTGGTAAGTTAATGAGGAGTCACTGGAGTGGAAGGTTTTGCATTTGTGAGATTGCTGAAGGAGAGAAGCTCTATCTCTTTTTTCTTTCTCTTTTTTTTCCCCCTCCACTGGGTGGGAAGGAGAGAGCTTGGCAGTGTGTAGATCCATTTGAATCCTTTTGATTAGCGGGTTGCATTCCTACCACTGTTCTACCAAATAGTATTTTGCTGGTTGCTCCAAGAAAAAGGAAAAAAAAACCTCACATGGATGAGATTTCTAGAGAAGGATGCCTAGATTAAAGAAATCATTTCCCAAAACAAGCAGAAGGAATGGAGCTGTGAGAAATAGGATCCTGAATGAGTTTATATTGTGGCTAATGTCACAGGAGAGCATTAGGAAAGTAGCACAGTGAAGGAAAAGGATCATTTTGCAGCTTTCTCTTTAATCTGCTTTTTCTGCCGGACAATCAGTGCTCACAGTTCCAGGAGTGAGACTGCAACCTGAAATCTGTGACCTTTTTGTTTCTTACCAAAAAGGCCATCTCAAATTCAAGCAAGTTTTGGTAGAAAGCAGAGATGATTAAATAACTCTTTGGTAAGCACATAGTTGCCATTGCCAAAGCTGCTGCCATTATCCTTAGCGCATGAATTCCTTTGTATACTGAAGGTGGGAAAACAGAACTGATGCCCAGGGCTGGATGACCACATCCCAGGCTGAGGACAAAGTGGGAAATCTTACATTCAAAGATCAGCAAGCCAATGGCCCACAGTGCTTGGTGGTACCATGGGAGGTTTGGGTTTGTTTCATCATATTTCCAAGACTCAGATGGATGTCTCCTCTGATGCCTCCCCAGTCAAAACATTGCTTCATTTCTGCATTGCTTAAACTGACCAGATTGTTTTGTTTGCCTTTGTCCTTGTCTAGTGAGTTCACATTTTATAGCTTACTTGTTTTGATTTCACACACAGTGGAACCTGAGCAGAGCTAGGCAAAATCTCTTTAGCTCATTAACATCATTGGTTTTAATTAATCATCATTTTAATACAACATACCTCAGAAAAATGGTTCAGCATCAACATTTTTCATCTCCTGCTACAGAAGGACCAAAAGATCACTTAAAGTCATTCTTATTGAAAGAAATTGCTGAAATAATTATTGACATTATTGAAAGAAATATCCTTCTGTTATATCCTATCTCTTTGTTTACTTTGTGCATTTGTTAACAGCATGTGTCCAGTCAGTGTCACTGCCTGGGTCTGTGTTTGCAGGGCAGACCTGGAAACTGATCTTGAGGTCAAATTAGCTTGACTGTCCAATTTTCTGCCAAGCTAAGAGGCAACCTAAGCTGTGCTAACAGGGCAAACCTCAGCTACCTCTCTGCACTTTCAGATGCGTGTAGATGTACCTGCTACAGGATCAGGTCCCAGCACTCAGTGCCTGATCTCACAGCCTTTCTACCCCATCTGCCCTCATCACATAGACAACAGCAGGCAGGCAGGACAGCCTCCAGTCTTTTCAAGAAGGACCTGACACTGCCAGCCCTGTGATCAGACTGGGTTTCAGAGGCAGCCTGAATACATCCCCTGCTCACCTGCTCAAGTGCAGACAGGGCAGCTGTTCCCTCTCTGTGATCACAGAGGAAATAATCCTGCCAAAAAGCTGGTTGTCAGTTCCACTAAGGATTCTGGGACAACTCACTTGAGGAGGGCACTCATTCTTCAGTTCAGTGAATCTGGATTTGACCAGTTTTAACTGATTTTGAGAGTATTTCACAAATACTTAATTTAAAATAGTGAAAGCATAAAAAAAGTAGGAGATACTCTTATTAAACATTTTTTTTTTAATATTAACTTGGCCTGAAAGTGATTGTGTCCCTTTTTTATGCTGCTTAAAAAAAAATGTACTAAACAAGCTTAAATGTCAATTCAAGTCTTCTTCTGCACTTCATTACAGCAAAACATTCTACAAGTGATGGTGTTCATGTTATTAATTCGCTTCTTATAAAAGCCATCTGGATTTAGACATGTAAGCAAGGTTATAAATGAAACAGTAATTTTTTTTGTCATTTTAATAGGCTACCAATGGAAAGCAGGGGGTTCTGTCTGCTTTTTCAAATCTAATCAGAGGTAGATAGGCATCTAAAGCACAACAGCCTCATGCTGACACATGAGGGAATGGAATGTCCTGGGAACATAATGAAACTGGCCAGCCTTCCTTCATTGGCCAACCTGAGTTAAGTTACAAAAATAGACAAAGCCAAAAAAACTAAACATACCAGGCTCCATCAGGAATCCATAGGCCCTGAGCAACACAGCAAGGGACAAAACACAGTCAGTCTTCTCCTTGTTCTCCTTCTGGTTTCAGGAAGGAAAGAGAGGGCCAGGTGTCTATCTCAGGGTGACATACAGTCCATTTTCTATGCTATTCTACCTCTTTCCCTCTACCTGTTGAGGAAGAATGTATGGATTGTTGGAATCTGCTTCCATTCTCATGCTGCCTATCAAAATGCAGATAAAAATCACAGTGCCTCTTATATGTATGTGCTACTGCACTGGCCAAGTGTAGATGAATCTACAGAAAGATTCGAACTTGTTTAAACTGTTAACAAGCAAAGTAACTGAAGGCACTAGCCCTGCAGAATATTTTTAATTAGAATTTATTTTTCATTTTGATTCAGCACTTAGGCCATGGATTTTTATCTTCACAAAATTCCCTGCAATGGGGGCAGATTCTAGCCTCCTTACAGCAAGGATCTTTGAAATAATTCTTAATATTGACAAAATGAAACAAAACCTTTGAGAGTAAACAAGGACAAAAAAAAAGGACAGAGTTTGCTCAGGGAGAAGGGAGTGTTTTTTAAAATCACCTTTCAGTAGAAGAGAATTAAATTGTGCAGATGTCCTGCCTTTTGTTTTTCAGAAAGCAATGTCACAAAGATTGACTTGGCAACGAAGATGTAACAGCACAGTCTGGACACTAGACTTGCAGAATAAACTCAATGATGTGACACTTAATAGAGAGATCCCTGGTCCAGAAGATTGATGTACAAACAGGACAGATGGGGACTGACAATTGAAAGAATGTAGAGGCTGATCCAAGGCTTACAGAGACCTGTCATTCCTGGGGTTTGCCTACAATCTCCTTCAACAAAAGAGCTCCTGAGGGAAGGAGGGGATTAGTCAAAAGTTGAGTGAAGTCTCCAGGGAAGACGGTTTCTTGGATAAAGTTGTCAACAAAGGAATTGTTGAGGACTATTTGTTATAATTTCCTAGAGGGAGCTTCTGCCATTACTAACAGGATTACCAGCATACTGGTTCCACACCAGCAGAGCATTAGGCGTGTGCATTGCAGACTGGTTGCTTAGAGCTGAATTCAGGGGTCTTCTTATACTGGGTCCCAAATGTGTGCAGGTGTTGATGAACAGAGGGGAGATGGCAAAGAACTAAGATGCAGCCAAACACAGGCCATTTTTTGTCCAACTGTTGCAGGAAGTCCTGGCTCATTAATGAGTTACTGGCGTGATTTCCTCTCCTTGATGTCAGGTCTGCTGAAGGATTATGAGAAGGAAAGCTAATCTGAGGTGAGTGCTGATCAGGATACATGGGGAAATCAGAGGGCTCTTCCCCAACTACAGTTACTGTGAAATTTCTTACAGCATTCTTCCTGGAGGAATTAGGAAAGCAGGCAATTTACTGTGTTCAAGGGCTAGTCGGCTTGGTTTCAGATATCTGGGGTACTTTTTTCTGGGCTCTGGGACATCAAGACAGAAGCCTTGGTGTAACCTCACAGCAGATCTGTGAAGAAGAGGAAGGCAAAGATAAATCATTAAGGTGCAGGCATGCAAACTTTCTTGAATACTTCTTATTCATCTGAGTAGTGTCACTGGCATGACTGGGAGAACTTCTCTGAGCAAGAATTATGCAGATCATTGAGGCACTGGAACAAATCAGTCATGGAGCTATGGGGAAACATCAGATAAATAGGTGGCAGCCATAGAAAGAGCTGGAAGGTGTCATTTCAGTGTAAGGGAGCTATACCTCCAGACCCACCCAAGTCCATTTCTGGCTAACCAAACACTACAGATCTGGGCACACTTTTGTGTTCTCCTTTGCCCTTGCAATAGACATAATTTCAGGAACATATAGATTAGACACATAAAAGAGCACATGGATTATCTGCAGGCACTGCTCAGTGAAGAGAACAGGAGGTATTCCTTGTGTTATGTGACAGTCCTTGAAGTTCTCTGCCTTGATAAGAAGGAGAGGTATGTCCCCAAGTCTTTCCACATCTGGATTGTGTGGACCCAGATCTCCCAAACATCAGCCACTGTCAAAGTGAGTGTGAATGCCTGACCTCCCTTTGCAGTACCGAACAGAAATCTGTCTCAGTATTAGGACCTTCTGCCTCTAATTTGCTCTGCAATGAATCTGGAGTAATATTACAGTGACCTCACAGCAGTTTAAGCAAGATCAGGCCGGAATATCCTATAGAGCTCTACTTAGGCATGTGTCTCTTTGTCAGCATCCCATGTGCAGGTTTATTTGTGGAGAGAAGGGCATTTGGAACCTTTTTAAAAGAAAACCAGGAATTCTTAAGCATACTGGCACTGGCTGTTGCATTGCAAAAGATTCTAAGAACTGGTACAATAAAGCAGCTTTCCTAAAGTGGCTGCCTGGCTACATAGGTAGAAGATAGCTCTCCACTTCTGAGTTATGGTGCATTGTCATATGCATGTTCAGAAAGGCTGTAAGTGATGCCCAAGTTGAGACAAGGTATTCTGCATTCCTTTAGCACTCTTGGAGATGGCTGGGCTAAGAGCAGTGAAGAAGCAGGATCTTTAATGCCTGCCAAGGGCTGGATGTCTGCTCCTAATTGGGAGCCACTAAATGCTTGAGGTATGTTACATTAAAGGATTAGTTATGCATAGACAGTAAGGGATCTAATGACGAGATCTGAATCACTTTCCCCATGGTGTCAATCCAGACCACCAGTTATAAATGTCTTCTGTCCTGGAGCAGAAGAGAGAATGGCTTTGCTCTTTTACATAGCTGCTACCCCATATTCCAAAATTCTTACACTAAACTGCCAAAGAGTCAAATGATATATTCTAGCTCTGTTACATGGAGGGGCAGAAAGCCAGAAAGACCCTGGCAAAAGGATGCCCTGCAACCCAACACTCTTCTGTTCATTAAACCAACACTCGAGGCCCAATGCCTTAAATATGCCAGATCAGAGAGAGAAATTGCCCTAGAACCACTACTCCCCCAGAGTAACAGGAGCACTATTCACATCAAGAGTACTTAGTACATTTTCCATCCCCTGGCCTGCACAATCTCAAGGGCAACAAATGAACATAGTGTTGTAAGGAGTGAAGAAGACCAGGTAAAAAGAAACACCTGAATTCATGTACCAAGTCTGTGCCACCCAAAAAGGTGGTCCTGCTTCCCTCATTTCCCTCTGTGCTTCAAGCTTCACAGTCTTTCCCTCTTGCTCTCTGGCACTTTTCTAAGCCCTTGATGAACTGATCTAACTCACTAAACAGGTAGAAAGCTGTTAATTCTTTTGC